GGAAAGGTCGGCAGTCACGTGATTGTACACAACGCGAGTGTGGCTGTTTACACTGGGCCTGGGTGGCCTCTGTCCTCCCATGTCAGATAAATAACTGAAAAACATGCTGATCACTCGGCTGGCTTCGCTGGTGGGCTGACCAGGCTGCTAAGCCAATACCTGCACCATCGGCAGAAGTTGGGGCAGAGCCCAGGGCAAGGGGGTGGAGGTGGGGGGAATGGGAGTCTGCTTCTGCTCCAGAAACTTTGGCCTTCAGTGCTTGCTGAGCCAAGATGGGAATGAATGATTGGAATATCCCCTCCTCTCTTTTTTTTCTTTTTCTTTTTTGCTGATTGCAGAGCTTAAACTCTGAGTCTCCAGGACTGAGAATCTCAAGGACAGCCGGGCACTGGTGGCTCAGGCCTGAAATCCCAGCTACCCCGGAGGCTGAGATCTGAGGATCACAGATAAAAGCCAGCCCGGGGCAGGAATGGCACTTAGACTCTTAACCTCCAGTAAACTACCAGAAAACCAGAAGTGATTTTGAGGCTCAAGTGGTAGAGCACTCACCTTGAGCTGAAGAGCTGAGGGACAGCGCCCAGGCCCAGAGTTTAAGCTCCATGACCACCACCACCAACAACAAAGAATTTCACTGATGTTTCTGCCAGGGCTGGCTTTGAACCTCCATCATCCAGATCTCTGCCTCCTGAGTAGCTAGGATGACAGGCATGAGCACAGCTCTTTGTCCATATGGGGACTGGGAGGAAAGGCAAGGCAGAGAATGACAGGGCCATCTCTCCTCTGTCTCAGTGGCATCCCGGAGACCGTACCTCTATCCACCGTCAACCGACAGTGCTCTTCCGGCCTGCAGGCACTGGCTAACATTGCAGGTAAGGGGGTAAGGGCACTGCCCAAAACCCGGATTGGGCATGGTTCTGACACCGCCTGGCTGCAGCAGCACCTGGCTGTCTGCGGGGGCAGCAGGAAGCAGTTTTTTTTTTCTTTTTTGCCAGTCCTGGGGCTTGAACTCAGGGCCTGGGCGCTGTCCCTGAGCTTCTCTTGCTCAAGGCTAGCACTCTACCCCTTGAGCCACAGCACCACTTCCGGCTTTTTCTGTGTATGTGGTACTGAGGAATCGAACCCAGGACTTCATGCATACTAGGCAAGCACTCTACCACTGAGCCACTTTCCCATCCTCAAGGAAGCATTTTTTTATTCCATTTATTTATTTTGTGTCAGTTGTGGGACTGGAACTCAGGGCCCGGGCGCTGACCCTGAGCTCTTTTACTCAATCGTATGCTCTACCATGTGAACCACAGCGCCATTCCCAGCTTTTTGGGGTTTCATTAGACATAAGAGTTGCACAGACTTTTCCTGCCCCGGCTGGCTTTGAACCCTGATCCTCTAGATCTCAGCCTCCTGAGCAGCTAGGACAGGTGTGAGCCAGCAGTGCCCCGCAGGAGGCGGGTCTTTGTGAAGACTTCCCGGGCAGTTCCTGGGTCTGGCTTCGCTGGGTCCCACCTGGAGAACAGGTGGGGTGGGGCCCCGCAGCTCACACACAGCTCCACCGCAGCCCCCTGGTCACGGAACACTTTTGTTGCAGGTGGCATCAGAAATGGGTCTTTTGACATTGGCATGGCCTGTGGGTAAGAATTCCTTCCAGTTGGGGAGCTGATAACTTCTGCGATCATCCAACTAACTTTCCTCTTCCTTGATTCTAAATGATGGTGATTTGGAACCATGGCTCCACTTGTGGTTTTTCTGGTGGTTCATTGGAGATCAGAGTCTCGGACTTTCCTTCCCGGGTTGGTGTGGAACTGTGATCCTCCAGATCGTGGCCTCCTGAGTAGCTGGACTGACGGGCATCAGCCACCAGTGGGTGATGGCCAGTGGAGTTTTTCTCAGGAAGCATCTCTGGCCTCTGGCCGACCTTGGCTGACTAGAACTGGGCTCTGCTGACCCATGTCTCCGTAGGGAGACAGCCAAAGTTCACAAACCGGGATCTGGTTGTCTGAGCCTTGTCTCTTGGGTTCCCTTCTTCCCAGGGAAAGTATTGTAGGTGCTCTGAGAAGAGCTAGAACCTTCTGTGAGTTCTCCAGGGCTTTGACTTCGAGGCTTGGCATTAAGATTACATGGTTACAAAGCTCTCTGTGCTGATGGCTCACATCGTCTTTATAGATAGTCAGGAGGCTGAGATCTGAGGATCATGGTTTGAAGCTAGCACAGGTAGGAATGTCTGGGAGACCGATCTCCAATGAACTACCCCATAAATGGAGCTGTGGCACAAGTGGTTTGAGCCCCTGCCTTACAAGAAAGCAAAGGGACAGATTCCAGGCCCTGAGCTTAAGCCTACATTTACGAAAAAGAAATAAGAACAAAATATCCCTGGGCCTAAGTAATACTAAAATCCCCGCTGGCTGGTGCCTAAGACTTTGACATGTCTTTTTGCCCAGAGCGTCTATTTGGAAATGAGTCCTGAGGCCAGAGTCCCTCAGTGGGGTTTGGGCTGTCAGAACCCTGACACCCCTCCGTCCCTCAGGACCCGCATTTGTGCCAAGCATTCCTGCTGGGGATGGATTACATGGTGACTGCCAGAGCTTACCCTTGGGGCCTGGTTTTGGTGACACAGTTCCACCCAGTGCTGGGGCATCAACCCATTCAGCCACACTGGTGTGTGAGGTCATTCTTACCCATCCTGGGGCTGGACCACAGAGCCTGGGCACTGACCCTTTGCTTTTTCACTCTACCACTTGAGCCATGCTGCTGATTCTGGCTTTTTGCTGCATCCTTGGAAATCAGAGTCTCATAGACTTTCCTGCCTGGGTGGGCCTTGAACCGCAGGCCTCAGCCACCATGACCCGGGTACTCAGTGATGTGCTTGAGGCCTGGGGCTCCGCCCCTGTGCACTGACCACTGCCACTTCCGGTCAGCCAGTCCACTTCCTCCACATAGATGATGTCTCTTCTCCCTCTGACTGGGCGTGTTCTAGGGCAGGGCCTACCAGGGCTTCCTCGGAAGCTGCCAATTGGCCGTTCAGCAGTTCACACAGTGTTCTGATTGGTCATGGATGCAGGAGAGGCATGTGTCCTGATTGCTTATGGATGCAGGGAGAGATCTGTGTCCTGATTGGTCCTAGACTCAGGAAGAGGCGTGGTCCTGATTAGACCTGGGTGCGGGGAGAGGCGGGGCTTGGGCGGAGCTGTCCCCCAGGCCTGCCATGCTGGCCTTGGGCCCTGTCTGCCTTGCAGCCTTTCCCACCCTTCATCCTGGGGGCTCCCTGGCCGTTGGCCACCCCTGATCCGGCGGTGCCTGGTGTGCGGGAGGAGCCTGGTGGGACTCAGTTTCCCCCTTTGGCTTCGCAGGGTGGAGTCCATGTCCATGGCCGAGAGAGGGAATCCTGGCAACATCAGCTCCCGCCTGGTGGACAATAAGAAGGCCAGAGACTGCCTGATCCCCATGGGGTGAGTGCCAGGCGGGCCTTGCTTTAGAAGCTTCCAGAATCCCTCATCCTCTGAGACATAGGGGACCTGGGCGCGCCTGGCACTTAGTGACCGCACCCAGCCTCCTACCCCAGCCTATGTGTCCCCTTCCGGGGCCGACCACTCCTGTAGGTGGTCTTCTGCGGGGATCGCAGCCTCCTGGCCGGAGTGTTAGCCTGGGGCCCGAGTCCTCATGCAGTCCCCCATGGCTCAGATCAGGCTTGGGTCCTGGGAGGTCCAGGCCCTTCCCCGCCCGCCCGCCTGCCTCACGCCCGTCGGGTTTGCTGCTTTGGTTCTAGAATCACTTCGGAGAACGTGGCTGAGCGGTTTGGCATCTCCAGGGAGCAGCAGGACGCCTTCGCACTGGCCTCCCAGCAGAAGTGAGGGCTGGGGTCGGGACGGGGGTAGAACCCGGTGTGCCCTGAAGTCATGTTCCGTCAGTACTGGGATTTGAACTCAGTGCCTTTGCCCGTGTTTGGTTTTTTCCATTCCAAGCCTGGTGCTTTACGACTCGAGACAGACTTCCACTTCAGCTTTTGGCTAGTTCACTGGAGAGGAAGACTCTCCCAGATTTTCTTGCCCAGGGTTGGCTTGGAACTGTGATCTTCAGATCTCAGCCTCCTGAGTGGCTGGGATGACAGGCGGGAGCCACCAGTCCTGATCCTCCTCTCCTTTGAGGTTCAGATGAGGCACCACCAAGACCTCTAGAGCTCAGGAAGGCCTGGGGTGTGCCCCCCAGGTCGCAGGGCCTATGGGATCCTCTGTCCCCGCCCAGAACTGGGCTCTTGCATTTATTTGGAAGGTGTTGTGTACGGGTGGCCCTGTACCAGGGAAGTTTGGCGGGGCAGGGGGGGGTGGGCTGGGAGGCCTGACCCTGTCTGTCTGTCTGTCTGTCCATGCTACTGAAAGGGCAGCCCGAGCTCAGAGCCAGGGCTGCTTCCGTGCCGAGATCGTGCCCGTGACCACCACCGTCCTGGATGCCAAGGGCGACCCCCAAACCCTCACCGTGTCTCAGGACGAGGGCATCCGTCCCAGTACCACACTGGAGGGTCTGGCCAAGCTGAAGCCCGCCTTCAAAGATGGTGGTTCCACCACAGCTGGTGAGCGGGGCAGGCCCCTTCCCATCCCCACCCCCACCCCCCCCCTCTGCCTCCTCACCTCCTCACCCCACCCCTGCACCCCAGGAAACTCAAGCCAGGTGAGCGACGGGGCGGCGGCGGTGCTGATGGCGCGGAGATCCACAGCAGAGGAGCTGGGCCTGCCCATCCTCGGCGTGCTGAGATCATTCGCGGTGGTCGGGGTCCCCCCTGACATCATGGGCGTGGGGCCCGCCTACGCCATCCCTGTGGCTCTGCAGAAAGCAGGTGAGACGGCTGCACCCCTACCTGGCCCCGATCCCCTTTTCCTGTGTGCCAGTCCTGGGGCTTGAACTCAGGACCTGAGACTGACTGGTCCCTGAGCTTTTTTGTTGTAGTTGTTGTTCAAGGCTGGTGCTCTACCGTCTGAGCTACGACTTCACTTCTGCCTTTTGTTTTTTTTTGCCATTTCTTTGGAGACCAGAATCTCACAGATTTTCCTGCCCTAGCAGGCACTAAACCATAATCCTCATCTGATCTCAGCCTCCTGGGTAGCTGGGATGACAGATGTGAGCCACTGTGGCCGCCACTTCTTGCTTTTTGTGCTTAATTGGAGATAACAGTCTCAGAGTTTCCTGCCCTGGTGGGTGTTGAACTGCGATCCTCAGATCTTAGCCTCCTAAGTAGCTGGGATTACAGGTGTGAGCCAGGGTGCCAGCTCATGCTTCACTTTGCTCTTGGGGTCTCTCCCTTGGGCGCAGGGCTGACGGTGAATGACGTGGACATCTTTGAGATCAACGAGGCCTTTGCCAGCCAGGTGAGCCTGTGTCCCTTGTGTGTGGCCCTGGGCGCTGGCGGCCCCGG